CGGATGGAAGGTATGTATTCAGGGTGGTTCTTGATTTTAGTTTGTTATGACAACAGACAGGGTTCTTAATCTCTTCTTCTGGGACCCAAATAAAAAATGGCTCCTTACAGCAGACCTCACAGAAGTTCTTTTGTTCCCCTCTGAGATCACTGTAATTAGAATCCAGACCCACGAAGCCAAAGGAGTTTCTCAAACAAAGGAAATTAAAGGGAATGACTTGCTGATAGAGTAGCTAAGCTGGCCGCTTCCTGGCCACCCCCTAATAATAATACACTAATTCATGATCGCGATGGCCATACTCATGATCATGATGTAAAGGAGGAAATAAGTGCTTGTAGAACACTTACGACACCTATATTACAGAATGTTGGAAAATGTCTACTCAGATTCAAGCCTCATAAAGTTTCAAAGTTGCTTTTTAAACACCAACAGTTAACTCTAAAAAAGGAATTAGAGAATGGGAGCAGGCCAGATGTCATCAAAACCCACCCACTGGATTGTGGACCAGGCTTAATAACAAACCTGTTTTACCTGCGTGCCTGCTTGTCCCTATGGTTTGGAGTTTTTTAGATGATAATATAGGGATTAAAGCAGATGGCCTAATACAGGCTTGGGAAAATTACTGGTGGGGAGATTTTTCCACCGCAGTGGACCATGTCCGTTCTCATAGTCTTGATTGTCCTTCTACTGTATTAGCCACCATAAAGTTTGTTCCTATGCACTGGGGCACAGTTTTAGGTGATAAGAAATCTATTAATATGCTCATAGAGAATTTTTCTTTTCCCAAAGGAGTTGCTCCCAAGGATTTACTTGAGCATCAGAAATCAGCCCCATTAGAAGAAATAGAGAAATGGAAAAGATCAGGTTGCTCCGTGTTCCACTCCTGAAATATGAATAGGTCCCAACAAGAATTTAGCTCTCCCCAAATCCTTACAAATCCCCGTGCTAGAAGCATTGCATGCAAATGCCCATCTGGGAACAGAAAAAATGCAGAAATCTTTTAAAAAGTATTGGTGGAGGCATTTTTATGAGGTTGCTGATTATGTGTCATCCAATTGCCCTATTTGTGCCCCATCTAATTCAGGTAAACCCATAAAACTCTGCCCATAAGGTACCTATGCTCGAATGGCAGATTGGTTGTATTCAGCTCCCATCATCAAATGGTTATAAATTTGTTTTAGTCATGATTTGTAGCTTTTCTCACTGGGTAGAAGCTTTTCCCGGCCATCAACCTACTGTCACCTTTGTGACCAAGAAGCTTCTTGAAAATATCATCCCCACTTGGGGAGCCCCAGGGTCCTTTGTAGTGACCAGGGTATGCATTTTATTGGAAAAATAAGGAAATATGCAGAATTTTTCCTATCTTCCAGAGGCTTCACTTTCCTTATCATCCTCAATCCTCTGGCCTAGTTGAAAGAACTAATGGTATACTAAAAACTCAATTAGCCAAACTTTCAAAATCTTTACAGTTACCTTGGACTAAAGTGTTACCTCTAGTCCTCTTTAATTTGGGAACTACTCAGAATTTAACCCCTCATGAGATTTTTACTGGGCAGCCTATGGTACTCCATTATTGGGTAACCTGCCCCGAATCAAATTTAACTCAATCTGACTTGCTCCAATGTTGCAAGTCTTTAATTCAGTATTCTAAGGAATACTTCTCACAAGTTAAAGATGCTTTTGATAATCAGAAACAAGAAGTGTCCAAGCTACTCACTATCCAACTTGTAGACTATGTTTATTGGGAAAGACACCACTTAAAAGATTCTCTTGAACCTCGATGGAAAGGACTTTACCTTGTCCTTCTTACTAATCCTTGTGCCGCTAAATTACAGGGAGTTAGGACTTGGATTCATGTCTCCCAACTGAAGAAGACTGCAGCTCCTGCCTGGACAATTTAATCAACTGAGGGACTTAAGCTGAAATTCGAATGCCCTGGTGGCCAGAAGCACATGACTGCACCCAAAGCAAACAGTTTTCCAAAGATCACAGAATAAGACCTCTCACCCATTCTGTTGAATGCAAGCCCCTGAGGTCATTGAACTGTTTAATTCTTATTGCTTTTGAGGTTGCTTTGTGTTGCCAATTTGGGTTTATTGGCTGGTAAGAATTTTCCATACAGACTATAGATATATTTGCTGTTTCATATTCATTACTATCCTTATGCTAGTTGCTGTTTCATACACTGTTGATATTATCTCATTTTCATACTATTCTTTTTTCATGCAAATAAGCAAAATACTTATTGTCAGTTTAACCTTTTATCTGCTGTTTTGTTACTCACCCCGTTATTTTACTAGAGTTGTTATTGGCCGGTGTTTTAAACACCTGTTGATGCCCTAACCCTCATTTCTTTCCTCGTTGCTATTCTTTTGCTCACTGGATTACCCATAGGATCACTCCCTGTTTTGAGACCTTATTCTCAAATGGTAGTGGATGAAAACACTTGTTTTATCATAACCACTATTTTTATTACCTTTCCATTATTATATTATTTTTGGTTTGTGTTTTTCCACTATGAGGCTCTTCTTAAATTTTCTGTTACTGTCTTTCGCCACTCTAAATAACACTTGGTACAAAAATGCCTTTGTCAGGCTAGCTCAGTCAGTAGTTAGCGCAGGTAATCTGACTGATAGCTGGATTTGTCATCAAATTCTGAAAACTGAACATGATAACTCTGACCCACTGGCCTTCCCAGTACTTAATTATAGTTTTATACCCAGTGGCATGGTAAACGCGAGTATTATTGCCAGAAGAACTATCCCTGTTATGCTATGGCATCCATCTAACTTTCCTACTTATCCCTCAGTACACTGTTCTTTTCTTTTTCTTTGTTTGGACAAATCCTGAATTTATTTACAGTAATGGACACTCTATTCCCTTTGTTGGCAATGGCCGATATTATACAGCCTTAGTAGATTTTTGTAATTATGAGAATCCAGATGCCCCAATTTGCCCATTTAAAGGAAAATCCATTTGTAGCAGCTGTCTTACTGGAAAATGACTTAAAGAAGCAAACCAGGCTATTCTTTCCCCCAATACTCAAACTGCAACAGGAATGATTTTTGTGCCCCTAGGATATGTATTTTTATGTGCGGGATCCACTTATTTAAAGGAAAACGATCATATTGACCCTAACGCTTGTGTACTACCCTGCCTAGATGGATGGAGCATATATGGCCAATGTACCTTAGGGACCCTTGAGGTTCCTCTAAACCTCCATTCCTATGATGAAAGCACACATTAAACTAATGATCTGAAACTTCTTACCAGAAACAAAAGAGAAGCTAGTAACAACCCTGTAATAGATAAACTCGGAGATAGATGGGCGTTCTTCCAAGGCCTTTTTCCACTTGTTGGTAACCTTGAACTTAAAAAATCGATTCACAATTTATTCACCACGGTGTTGCAGATAACTAATAACCTTGCTGCTAGCAAAGAAGTTCAACAACAGTCCTTAAATTCCTTTAGCAGAGTAGTATTGCACAGGAGAATTGCCCTTGATTTCCTTTTAGCCCAATAAGGAGGTGTATGTGCAGTACTTAATACCTCCTGTTGCACTTGGATAAATATTTCAGGAGAAGTAGAATAAGACCTTAAGCAGGTACACCAAAAGGCATCCTGGCTTCATGTACCCTCTATGCCTGATTCACCTTCCCCTGACATCTTTAGCTGGTTACCTAAAGGTGCTGGATCATGGATTCAATCCATATTATTTACTTGTCTGCTAATACTTCTTGCTGTAATAATTGTTATTGGACTAAACAAATGTTGTCTGAAATGTATGACTAATGCTATTACTTAGAATATCAATTTAATGCCTATGAAAAGAATAATGTATATTGATAGTGTTCATCCTCCAAACGGATTCAATCTTACCTCCCGAAACAGAGCACTTAGATCCCAGGTTATTCCTTCAATGTGGCCAAGCCCCACACAGACCCTAATGACTGGACCACAAGAAGCAAGAGACTAAAATTATAGCATGGTAAAGACATCGAATGGTGCCCAGCTACTTTTCACATTCATAGTGTCTGGGGTCTTAAAGGCTTGTTAACCAAGCAGCAATTCAAACCACTACCTGAAGCCCATGCAGAAGAAAGCACTCTTTTTATTAATGGTCAATGAAATGATCAAAGAATCGATGAATGAAATGATATCTCGAAATTCTTGATCAGAAGAAGGGAATGTGCCAGGTTGCAAAACTGAGGTGCCTGGCATGCCTAGGGTGGCTGGCTCAGGTGTAGGCCCAGCTCCATTTTGTGACTTCTGCTTCTGCATGCCTGATAATGTAACCTTGACTTCTTCATATGCATATGGCCCTGGGCCTCTGGCTGGCTGGAACAAGTACACTAACTTCTTTCCACTCATAAGCATATGACCTTGAGCCTCTGGCTGGTTGGAACCAGTAGACTGACTTCTTCCCATTCATATGCATATGACCTTGGGCCTCTGGCTGGGCGGAATCAGCGGACGTGTCCCCTATCAATCACCTTGTAAAACCTCCTTTAGTCATGTATTTAAACTAACCAATCCAAATAACCCACATTTGTGTTTCCAACCAATCACTGTAAAGCCCCTGCTTTGAGTTATCCTGCCTCCTGCTTACCTAATCTTGCAACTTCCAATCAGAATGTTGTATTTAACCTCATAAAAATGTCTCTGTAACTCCACCATTTTGGAGCACTGGTTTTCACGTTGTGAGATCCAACATGTCCCCAGCTTGAGCTGCCGTTGCTCTCAGTAAATCTCTTTACTTTCATTTTAATCACAGTATGCATTGTCACTCAATGGCACCTGCTTTGTTTGGCTCCTGCCATGTGTGGGATTTTTTAAAATTTTTTTTACAACTTTCCCTAAACCCAAAGAAGCCTCAGTAGAACCCTCTGGCAACCATTGTTTCTCAGTCATGGAGCAGCAGGGAGAGGAATTCTAATTCCTTAGGTGCCTGTCTGTCATGTTGCAGCTCTGGAATGCGTCAGCACCTAGAAGAACATTACCTGGGTGGGATGGTTGGGCGACGATCAATAAATTCTCGTAACTTGATGGCAGCCATAACCGATGTGAATCTAAAAAAAAAAAAAAATTATTAAGAGAATATTCTTATGGCAAGTTCATTTTCGGGAATGAGTGATCTAGTACTACAAAACCCTACGTGGAAGAAAACACAGTAGAGAAATTGATAAAAGGACTATCCATAGCTTCTGCTAGAAATATATGGGGAAGGAAATTAAGGACTAGTAAAAGAGCAAACTAACACCCCATCTTTCAGTTTGTCATACTGTAGCAGCTTGCATGTTGCTGGCAGCTATGCCACTGGTATCTCAAATACCAGCACGGTCACCCATGGTGAATGGGTTTCAGTGGAGCTTTCAGACGAAGACTAAGAAGAAAGGCCTGGTAGTCTACTTCTGAAAATTAGCCAATGAAAACCCTGTGGATCTCAACAGAATATTGCCCAATATAGTGCTTGAAGATGAGCCCCCTAGTTGGAAGTCACGCAAAATACCCAGTGGCTGCAACTATGGGCTTGAACATACCAGTGATTGTGAAGGTGGCATAGGAATGGTAGTGTTTTGTTCTGTTGTGCATGGGGTTGCCATGAGTCATAGCTAACTTGATGGCAACTAACAACAACAAAGTTATTTTAGATTGGCACTTAGCCTTCATTCTCACCACTTCTTGCAAGCTAAACACTTCATTTCCCAAACTCCCTCAGAAGCAGAGTTCTGGATATGAATTAGATTCCTTCAACCAGATGTACTTGTGTGAGATTTGGAAGGTGGAAAGAGAAAAGAGGCCATTTCCTGCTGCTTTGACTTTTTTTCTTCTGGCAAGCCAGGTTATAAAGATATGGTGTTTTTCTGCAGCAGACCTTCCACTTCCAATATCCAGCTTTGGGGGCGTCCAGTAGCAATTGCAGTGAAGCCAGTGGCTGAACTCTGTGTTCCAGTGTTCAAACACCAGCTTTGTGAGTGTCAAGAGGTTGCTGGGAGTGGGTTCTTGAGTTCAATCCTTCTGGAAGCAGCTTTCTGATTAGGGCTGGTGTAGTGGCTTCCACAAGGGTCAGTTTTGTGGATGTGTTCTAGAAATGCTTCTGTGAGGCCTCATCCAGAGCCTGCTCCTCTAGCCCTTCCAAAGATTTTGTAAGCACTTCCTTATCTGTGTTAAATCCCTTTGTTTCTGTTTATAATGCTGAACCCTGACTGAAACACATAATATATATTGTTTGTAGTCTAAAATTGCACATTATCTCTGATTATCTCCTGGAGAAGAAGACTTATGACAAGCAAACTACTACACTTAAATATCCACAGGAGGAAGAGTCAGCTATGAGGAGGGAAGCTGAGTGGCTGCAGGAACAGAAGTGGGAGACTTTTTGTGTTTGTTTGCTTGTTTTGCTGTTGTTTTGTGACTTAGGAGACCCTATGTGTTACAGAGTAGAATGATTCCATAGGGTTTTCTTGACTGTGATCTTTAAGGAAGCAGATTGCCAAGGCTTTCTTCTGTGGTGCTGCTGGGTGAGTTCAAACTGCCAACCTTTTGGTTACCAGTCAAGTGGAAACTGTTTGCGTCACCCAGGGACCTTGGGAGCCTTACTTTTCACAGCATACCTTTTGTGTACCTTATGACCTTTTTGTTACGTGTATATATTAAGAGCCCTGGTGGCACAGTGGTTAAAGTACTCGGCTGCTAACCAAAAGGTCAGTGGTTTGAACTCAACCACTGCTCTGTGGGAAAAAGATGTGGCACTCTGCTTCCCTAAAGATTCACAGCCTTGGAAACCCTATGGGGGCAGTTCTACTCTGTCCTGTAGTGTCGCTATAAGTGGAATCAACTTGACGGCAGAAGGTAACTAGGGTATGGCAGCTATTGCACTGGCCCTGGGCCCGTGGTGCCACTGAGCAGTTTCTATTAACCTGGTACGGCCAGCAGCGTGTCTATGGAAAATGGACTCTGTGGTAAGCACTGAAATTGTACCCGTGTCCAAACATCTGACACCCCTCTTTTAGATATCCTTACCATAATATCAGCTCAAAAATACAAGTCAAGCTCATTAATCTTTTAATTAACTCATTACCGTGCTTGAGGAAGGATGTTGGGCCATATTGGGTTAATAGAAACTGTTCAGTGATGCCAGGCGTCCAGGGCCAGTGCAATGCCCTAGTTATTCCAGGCAATGAGTTTGGTGTGGGTTTGGTTTGGTGTATACATTGTGGATATATATAAAGACAAGTGAGCCTCTCATTTGCATAAATATGGAGGATGGTGTAGCAGGGGTCTACATGTAACTTGTATCAGTCATTTCCCCACTCAGTACAATGATGATTACAATACCTGTCTGGAGGATTAGGTGAGGTAATCGTGCATGTGAGAGTGTTCTGTAACCTAACAAGCACTCTTGATCACCATATGAATAAGAGAAAGGACAAATAATGAGTTCTGATTGTGAGCATGTATTATGTGTGTCTGATAACATATATAAATTCATTTAGGCCTTCCAAGTAAACTCATGAAGCATTATCACTATTATTGACAGCAAAACTGAGGCTCAGAGAAGTAAAGTAACTTGTACAAGGTCACCAAGGAACTAGGATTAGAACCAGAGACATCTCTCTTAACTACTATTCTGTTTTGAAGCAACCACAGAACATCCAAACTACCAGCTGAAACAAAACTAGGACCGCCCATGAGGACCACCCCAAAGAAGCAGTATCCGTTGAGCTGATTCCAACCCATAAGAAGCAGTAACCAGAAGGAAAAAAAGATTGGGGAAAAGTGTGCAATGCCTACCTCTCTTCGCTTTTATAGTCAAAACCCAATTTACTTGCTAATTCATCGCCTGCAGGCTGGCTAGCTGCTTTGTATCATTTCTGGATGTGTTTTTCAAGGCACTTGAAAAATTTCAACATTACATTATAACAGAATAGTTTGGCTACCCCATGGAGCCCGTTCGTTATATAATGTGTCTTAGCTTTTAGCACTAGTGTGATTGTTTTAAAAAAAGAAGAAAAAATGGAAGAAAGGAAATTTGAGAAAAACAAACAATGAGATTTTAATTTGATAATCCAAATTAAGAAGTCCTGTGACTGCTGAGATTTTATGGTGGTATGCTGGAGAGAAGAATGCAAGATATTCAGGAAATTTGTGCTCTTCAAAGACAGCACTGCGCTTGCCTTTGATAATGGAGTGATTGCTCAGTGCCTAGAAATTCTGATTCAGCACAGTAGGAAATAAACCAGGCACAGTTGCCATGCTTTGGCCATGTCATAAAAATATTTTCCGAGGAACACTTTAATAGCAGACTTTGTATAATATGTTTTTAAAATCAGGAAGTGTGAATCCTCCTACTTTTTCTTCTCTTTCAACATTGCTTTAGCTAGTTGGGGCCTCTAGGCATTCCATATAAAGTTGAGGATTGGTTTTTCCATTTCCATAAAGAAGGCTGTTGGAATTTTGAACGGAATTGCTTTGAAAATATACATCACTTTGGGTAGTATTGACAGCAATATTAAGCCTTCGAATCCATGAACATGGAACATCTTTGCATTTATATAAGTCTTCTTTAATCCCTTTCAGCAGTGTTTTTTTATAATTTTCATTGTATAAGTCCTTCACATCCTTGTTAAATTTATTCCTAGGTATTTTATTCTCTTAGATGCTATTGTGAATGAAATTGTTTCCCTGATTTCTCTTTCAGATTTCTCATTGCTGGTGTACAGAAACCCAACTGATTTTTGTTTGTTGACCTTGTACCCTGCAACTTTGCTAAATTCCTCTATTACCTCTGGAAGTTTTTTTGTGGGTTCTTTGGGCAATAGCAGATTTGAAACTAAGCCTAAGCACCTCAAGAATAACCAGAGGACTGTGGGACATAAAGTGATACTCGTGAAGAGTGTGCCTCTTAGTCAAGTAGATACGAGAGACCAAAGGGGCAGCTTCTGTCCAGAGGTGAGACGGGAAGGCAGAGAGAGTTAGAAGGTGGTTGAATGGTCATGGGGAATCAGGGGCAGAAAGGAGGAGAGTGCTGTCGCAGAAAGGGGTGAGCAATTAGGATCTCATAACAATGTATGTATAAAAATTTTGTATGGGAGACTAACTTGAAATGTAAACTTCATTTAATACAACAATAAAAAATAAATTAGAACCCCCACCCCCCAAAAAAAAAAGAATAACCAGAGGACCTTGTCTGAGAGCGGTTAACAGATCTACCATTCTGCAACATTAGGGAATTTCCTGCAGCATGTATATAACACTTAATTGTGCTCATGAGAAACCTGTACTTAGACCAAGAGGCAGTCGTTTGAACAGAACGAGGGGATACTGCGTGGGTTAAAGTCAGGAAAGGTGTGCGTCAAGGTTGTATCCTTTCACCATATTTATTCAATCTGTATGCCGAGCAAATAATCCTAGAAGCTGGACTATATGAAGAAGAACGGAGCATCAGGATTGG